AGAGAATCGAAACTTGTTGTAAGGCGATCTCTGCAAAGAGGAAACCCGTTAGTGAAACAAATCAGGAAAGAGCCATCAGCTTAAGATACTATTCGAGGAAATGAAATTCTTCTAGTATATGAATTCAATTACAAAAATAATAATAATAATACAGGCTAAAGGAAAAGGGGAATTCTACACTGGATCCTGAAACAAAGCAAGTACATTAGTAGAAAAGCTGGAGAAATCTGAATAAAGCCTGTAGTGAATAGTAACCCACCGATATTAAAGCCAAGAAACGGCTTTAGGAAGTGCGCATGGTTATATAAAATGTGGACACCGGGAAACGGGGTGAGGGGTGTGTGAAAACTCTGTACTATCCTTCTAACGTCTCTGGAAGTCTAAAATCACGGCAGGATTTCAGAGTTGCAGAGTTCATGTCTCACGATCACGAAGAACTAGAAGCAGGGACAAGGGGAGGGGTTGTTTATTCCAAAGGTAAAAGTTTATTTAAGAAAAATGTAATTATTATTGATGTGAAACAAAAAAAAATTTTCAAACAGGAAAATCTAAAATATGTAAAATAGCTAGCCTAAGTCAAGAATTCAATACGTAAACACCAGACCACAAACCAAGCCCAAGAATCAGAACAACGGTGTTCTGGCCAGCAGGTGGTATGGAGGTTAAAGTGGCTGGATCTCACACAGCCAGCTGTGTGGTCCAAATCCAGGACTTAGCGGCTTGAAAATCACATCAGGAACATGTGCACGGGTGCCCAAAATCCTGAGAGGAGAGTGGAAGAGAAGGGATCGCAATATATTGTCATCTCTCCTGAGGCGTGTTCTGTTTCTCTCTTTCTCTCTCTCTCTCTGACAAGTGCTTGTGCCCTAAGCAAAAAAAAAAAAAAAAAAACGTATTCTAAGGTCAGCTTGAAACAGCATTTAATGTTGCTCTAAGTGATATTTATTCCATCTCTATTTCTTGTGGAATTATAGCTTTCACCAACAAAGAAGTGATTAGCCTTAAATATATATTAGAAATAAAAGCCAGTGTTTTAGAAAAACATCTATGAAAGGCAACAACACAACACACCATCTATTGTGGGAAGTCACTGAGAGCCTGTTTACTGGGAAAAAAAATTCATCTTCCTTTTTGTGTTCAGCATGAGAACGTGTTCTCCTTTTAGGAAGACAATGAAAAGAGGAAGTTCTTTAAATTTCATTGTATTAAGAAATTATCAGAATAACTGCTTTCACATTTCCTGCAAAAAGCAACATCTGCAATTTGTCATTTCCCCTCAATGTGGTCGAGTCAATGAAGCACTGCAGGTCCCTAAGAGCAAACAGCAGAACTCCAGACCCGTGGTGGACTTCCACCTCGGCCGAGCTGGTATTAATTACATTCCAGGTGGACTGGCCAGACACGGAGATTGGGTAGAAATACTCTCTATATGTCCAAATGACCTTGTCTGCCATCACCATGCTAGGAGCTTGGCAAACAGTATCATTTTGATAGATTTTATGGTACATTAAGAGGTAAGAAAGTCTGGGAAGAAAACAATCCATAGCTATTTGTGTACTGACTCAGTGTGGAAAGTGTCAATGGGATCAGCTCAGAAGAGCTGTGATGAGTAATTACAAAACAGCTCCATTCACATTTGTTCTAACCACCCAATGTGCAACAGACCCTTTAGCAGGACGGCGTGTAGCAGAAGCATGTGAATTTTCACTGTCAACACTGAGAACACCTCCTCTGTAATCAGTGTTGATAGACAGTGCCCTTCGTATTTCCAAAATAACTTGAACATCAACAACCAGAATATACACAAACTTAAAGTAACTAGAATAACCAGGAGAGTTATAACTAGCATATAAACCAACTTGAAAGGGTCCTGAAAAATAATTTGCGAATGTGGCAGAGTGTCATTCGAAGAGAATGAGAGGATGGTTGTCGAAAACTAATTGTGACATGAAACTCCCACAAAACCTCCACTCTCCAATATAGATTGCATGTGATTGAGTGTCGTGCACTGTTTTAGGAATGGGGGAAACAAGCAGACTATGCTGTTTGTTACTGATAAATTAAGGACTGGACTTCATTTATTTATTTGTTTATTTATTTATTTATTACCTTAGGGGTCAGGGAATTGGAAAAAGGACATTTTTTTTCACTGCACTATAATTTATAATCAAATAAATCACATAACTATCATTTTCCCAATATCAACCCCTCGCTCCCCAGATGTGGACCTTGCATTCCAACCTTAGACGTCTACTCCTCTGCTGAGAAGCCTTGGCTGGCTCCCCACCTACAAATCGAGACCAAGCTTCCAAACTGAGTCACCCTGGCTGGCTTGAACCTACCTCTCTGGCTTTGTCTCCCACAGTGTGCGTGACTCACACTGTCTGCATGCTGAGACTTGCCTGCCAAAGCCCCTAAAGACTGGCCTATCCCCAGGACCCCTGCACTTTTCATCTGGCCGCCTGTCCTCCCAGGCTCAGCCCAAAGGTGCTCCTCCCTAGGCAGGACGCCCCCCTTCCCAGCCTCCCTCTGTCCTCTGGGTACTTCCAGGTTGCGAGTCCTTCTTATGGGAAAGCGCACGCCCTGCCTGTGTCCGGGCTGTGCTCTTCCACGCCACTGAACTCCGGCTGGAAGGACACGTCTTAATCCGGAGCCACGTGGAGATACTTCTCTCATTCAGTGCTGCCTGGAGCGCTGCCCCTGCTCCTCGCCTGCTGATGGCTACTTCCCAGATCGCCGGGGTGTCCCTGGGGACGCCGTCCTCTGTCTTCAGGCCTGGGTCACCTGCACCCCCACCTCCAGGTGCTGCCCAGAGCTCTCGTGCCATAGCCTTCACCTGTCCACTGGCTGCCTGTGGCCTCAGGGCGGGGCACTATCCCTCACTGCTGTGACAGAGCCCCTGGCACATCGGAGGTGCTGGGTCAGTATCTGACGAAGCCAGCACTACGGGCTGAATGCACGTGCGATGGATGTGAACGTGAGATCCACCAAAGGGAGCCAGCTGCCCTCTATTTCTTTTCTATTCTGTTCTTTTTCTAAATGTTTGTCAGGGGGCATATGCGCTTGGCCCAAAGAGACAGAGAGGGGGAAAGCAAGGAAGTCACCCTCCCCACAGGGAATGGTCACACCACAATCGCTTCTCCATTTCTCCCTCCTTTCAGGATCCGGGGCATGCACACACCTGCACCTGGCATGTTTTTCAGGCCACCTGATCCACGCTGTCAACCATGTTGGATCCACTGCCTTGACCACCATGCCCCAGTGCCCAGCCCTCTACTTCCTTTGCGCTTACTGCCATATGGAACAACTGTGTGCACAGTGAGTGCTGACGAGTAAGCCCACGACAGGACCCAAAGAGACCAGGATTCCAGTCCTTCCTGGGATTCCCACAGAGCTCAGAAGTACTAGGAGCCCGCTCTGTGCACCCCAACCAGGTTCCGGCCCCATGGTGACTGCAGAGAGCAGACACCGCCGGCTCCTCCAGGCCCACAGCTAGGGCCAGAATCCCAGTCGACTGCAGCAGGGCGTGTGGAGAGAGGTCTGGCCTCTCCGAGATGTCCTGCTCCTACTCCGAATGTGACCCCCAGCCCCTTCCTTTCATCCTGCAGCCCACTACCGCCCCACCTATTCCAGGGAGAATCCTGCTCCTACTTGGAATGTAACCCCCAGCCCCTTCCTTTCATCCTGCAGCCCACTACCGCCCTACCTATTCCAGGGAGCGTCAGTGCTCCCGGTCCCTCTCCCCTCCCCAGCCATTTATTCAGAGGTCAGGGCCCTGTGGCCAATGGGGAGGAGAGGTGCTAACGACCAGGGTTAGGCCCCTGATTTCCGGTCCAGGTGATTTCACAAGACAGTGAAGTCCCTCATCTGGGGAAGGTGCGAAGCTGGAAGGGGAAGATGGCTGTGTGAGTGAGGTTTTTCAATGACAGAAGTGCCTTGTGGATACGACGAATAATGTGCTGCACACGTGTGTGTGCGTGGGCGTGTATGTGTGTGTGTGTGCATGCACGCATGTCTCCTACACGTCTTTCTTGCTGGTTCTCAACTAGACTTTCTAATTCAAACAAACACCTAGCAACTCCCCCATAGAGGGCTCCACATTTCCCTTCTGTGATCTGGCCATCTGGGGATGACTGGGAGAAGGAGAGGACCAGCAGTCCCAGGCTGGGGATGCAGGGAGGACAGGAGGCAGCGGCTGACGCCCCGAGAGCACCTGCTGCCCATGCCCTGGGACCAGGTTGGCAGCACAAGCTCAAATCCTGCCGAGGTGAACCTGGCTGGTGGCCACGGACCATTTGGAAATGAGAAGCGACAGGCACTGTCCACACAGGAGGGGAAAGGGCTCTGCTCAGGTGAGGGCCACAGCTGGGCGGTATGTAGAGGTCCTGGGGAACCATGGGCCACGCTGCCAACTACAGGACTGTTCCGGGCAGGCTGGCAGGGAGCGGGAGGCCTCTGCTTTCTCTTCTGAGGCAGCTGATGAGTCAGCACAGAGCAAGGCAAGTTCTGACGTGTTGCATTCAAAGGGGGAAATAAATTGCCTCCTCTGAAGACAGCACCTGTCACCCGCAGCTTCGTGACGGACTGAGCCCTCCACATGGCGCAGCCCAGTGAGCACCTGGGTCTGGCCGGGAGTTAAACCCTGCCCTGTTTGCTCTGGCCTCCTGACTGGCTGCCATGCTTGGGGGTGCGAGGGGAGGAATCAAGGACAGTAACGGCAGGTGTAGGGGGACAGCAGGAGGAAACAGGACCGGACAAGCTTGCATGCCAAGTCACAGCGAAACCTCAGAATTCTCACAGAGTTCCAGTCACTCGGTGGCAATGCTGGGGAGGAGGAGTGAGCAATCGTCCCCCAGGGAGGATGAGTGCCCGCAATTCCTTCTCCTCCATCTTCTCTTGGGATCTTGGACCTGCATGCACATGTGCCTGGCACGATTTCAAGCCAATAGGTCTGGGGCTTGAACCAGGAAGTCGGCCATGTGGGATCTAGCCGCCTTGGCCTCCACACCACCTGCTGGCTCAGCATCAGGGCTTTCTAAAAACTTCCCAGGTGATGGAACCATCAGATGGCATAATAATTATGTTACTGTACTCTCACACAGCCGACCGCGGTTTGAGCCCCAGACCCGGCAACTTAAAACTCATACCAGGCGCGTGTGTATGCATGCCCAAGATCCCAAGAGGAGAATGGAGAAGGGATGTGGCTTTTCATTTTCTGCCTCTCTGTCTCTCCAGTGAGCACATGCGCTCTGTAGAAAAAAAAAAAATCTCTCTAAACAAAGACTTCCCAGGTGGGGCCAGTAGATGGCATGGTAGTTAAGGTGCTAACTCCCACTTGGCTGATCACGCTTCGAATACTGGACCTGGCAGCTTGGTTTCTTACTTTCCAGCTCTCTCTCTGTTTCGCTCTGGTTAAATTTAAAAATAATAATAAATGGGACCAGCAGTTGGCGTAATGGCTATGTCGCTGGACTCCCATGTAGTTGCCCACGGTTTGAGTCCTGGATTCAGTGGCTTGAACTCACGCCAGGTGCATGTGCGTGTGTGCCCAAGATCCCGAGAGGAGAATGGAGGAGAAAGGATCGTGGCGTGGCCATCCCCCCTGGGGGGTGATTTCTCGCTTTCTGTCTCTCTGTCTCTCTTTGTCTTCCTGGTGAGTGCACACACCCTATAGCGAAAACCACTCACTCACTCACTCAATACAAAGAAACTTCCCAGGTGATTCTACCATGCACAAAGTTTGGCGCCTGACAAAAAGTCCTCTACGTCTCCCTTATGAAACAGGAAAAAAACGTGCTCTCTCTAATTACTTAGAAAGCGATGTATCGAGGACCCAGTTATCTGACATGATCTGTTCTCTTGGCAAGGAAATTAACAACACCCAGAGTTCTACTTAGAAACCCTCTAAGTACAGGCTAGAGGCTTTCACAAATCCATTGAATTCTACTCATTGGCTCAGTTCTACAACAGCTTCTATGGCCTCTTGAAGGCAACAGCAAAGCATATTAAATATTTAGTCTCTTGTTCTGCTGACGTCAGGCTCGGCTATTGACGCTGGCTCTGTGCGTCATCAGCCCTGAAGAGAAGCCCTTTCTACCTCAGTCTCCTGGCAGCTGCTCGATCCTGGGACGGTCTGAAGAAGTAGTCCAACTGGGCTTTGTACTGAATGGGTCTTAGGGAGCAAGACACAGAAAGAACCCCCTAAATCACTCTTGTCTTAAAGACCCAGAAAAACCAGACTCACCATACATTGTAAACACAAAAACAGAGCCAAATACCTATCACCGTGAGATAACTGCAACCATTACTGTGGGTTATTCACTCTGCTCTGTCAGGGATCATCAAGATAAAAACCATGAATACACAATCACCATCATTTCTTGCCCATGCGTTTCTATGCAGACCTTAGGAACATTCTGGAAGCCAGGTGTTTCATCATATAAATCTGCAGTAACTTACAATCAAGTAAGCCTCAGTAAACCCACGAGACCCTATGTGCACGCTTCTCCAGTAGGAAGCAGAGTTTCTCCCACGTTCATTTTCTCCAGCGGGGCACGGGCCTTGTCAGCCACTGACCGGGGCTCATAGAGCCCTCTGCTTACCAGTGTAGTTTGCAGAATAGTTGTTTGGATCTAAAAACTTCTTGACCAGCTCACAATTAGACAAAATATGATTTGTGGTGATAACGTTGAGATAGTTTTGAAGACCTTTCTGTCTCTCAGCTATGAATTCACGATCCATGTTACCAATCAATTTTTTGGGAGGAAGAGGTAGACTTAGGCCTGTAATCTTTAAAAAAAAAAAAAAAGGATTATACTCATATCATCCATAGTAAGAGAATATCAGAATCCTAAGCTTCTAAGACAATCCAGATCTTAATATTCATCCTAATTTCAGTGACATTATAAAAATGTGAAAAAAAACTATGCATCTTAGAACTGAAAAAAAACACTGTATTAAACATAGTAACTTTAAAGCTTTATTACTTTTTAAAGTTGATTTATTTCTTCTACGAATGAGACATAGAGAGAAAGGCCGCGCCCTGAACAGTCTTGCTGCCACAACTGACCTCCTGGTTCAGCCGGCCCCAGACCACGGTACGCACACCTGCCAGACTCAGGAAGGTCTCAGGGTGTGAACCCAGCACCTTCCCACGCGTTAAGAGTACAGCAGGGTGTTGTGTTTTACTGTTGTGCCACCGTTCAGCCCCCTAAAGCTTAATTTTTTCTTTAAGAATTATTTTATTGAAACCAAGATGGCAAATGATTACATAACTGGACTCCCACATGGTCAACAGCAGTTAAAGTCCTGGACCTGGTGACTTAAAACTTAAAAAGTTGGGCACATGTGCATACATGTTCAAGATCCCAAGAGGAGAATGGAATAGGGAATGTTGCATGGTCATTCCCACTGGAAGGTGTTTCTCTCTGTCTCTCTGGCGAGTGAACATACCTATGGCAAAAAACTATCTCCCTTAAAAAAAAATTTATGCATTATTATTATTTCTTAATTTGATCAGATAGAGAGAGAGGGAAAGTGAGAAAGCAAGCTGCCAGGTCTAGGTCTCAAACTGCGGTTGATCATGTGGGAGTCCAGCACCTTAACCACCATGTTACCTGCTGGTCCTAAAGTTTATCTTTTTTTTTTTTTTTTTTAAAGTATTTCTAATTGACAAAGGGTACATGCACCTGCCAAAGTGCAGAAGGAGAGAAAGAGGGGAGAAAACATCCTCCTAGTGGTTTGTGTCACACCACAATCCCTTGCCTCTGTTCCTCCATCTGACTGGGAGTCTGGGAACACAAGCACACACACCTAGTGTGTTTTTCAAGCTGCTGGAGCCAGGATTTGAACCACACTTGACCATGTAAAATCTGACTCCCTAAACCACTAGGCTATGTGTGGCCCTAGTTACAAAATTCAGAACCACTTTGCTGTTGTCTAGTTTACAATGCTATTGCTAAAGTCCAAGCATACTGATTTTTGAGGTCCTCTCCCCTCCCCCCATAAACTCCTGAAGCTTTTAGGATCTCTTCTTAACTTCAGCTTATGAATTTCATGTTTTGTTCATTTGTAATTTGCTAGAGGCCACATGCACTCACTGGACGGGGAAAAGAGAGAGAGAGGGAGGGAAAGTGAGGGAGATGGGGGATAGTCATGCCACAAACTCTTCCTTATTTCTCTCCTCTCCTTTCGGGATTTACGGCACACACTTGGTGTGGTTTTTCAGATCACTTGGTCAGGGACTCACACTATGCAGTCGGCCATGTGGGATCCCACCGCTTTACCCAGCACGCCTCCGGCGGCCCTGGAGCACCTTCATGTGGGCCTATTTTCATCCTGTGAGATGAGCACTAGGTCCTTTCAATGTAGAAAGTAACATTCTTATGCTCCCTGGTATTTCCTTACACTAGATTATTGCTTCCCCTCTCTGCCCTCTGCTTTTGTTTTATTATTATGTTTTTTCACTAAAACACCTGTTTTCCAACATCAGACCACCTGAACTGGTTCTTTAACTTTCTAACCTTTCTATATATTCTATTTTTTCATTATAAAAAAGGATATTTCCTTTATCTTTCAGCCTTTCTAAAGAGTTTTCATTTCTACTGTAAGTTTTTTTATTTGTAAGTGCTCTTTTCTTTTTTTTTTTTTTTTTTTTTTTTCTTTTTTTTTTTTTTTTTTTGAGGAGTTTTTGCTACAGGATGTGTGCGCTTACCAGAAAGACAGAGAGAGACAGAAAATGAGAAATCACTCTCCGGGGGGATGGCCACACCGCAATCCCTTCTCCATTCCCCTCTTGGGATCTTGGGCACACACACACACATGCTCCTGGCATGAGTTTAAGCCACCGGGTCCCGGACTTGAACCACGGTCGACTACATGGGAGTCCAGCGACATAGCCATTACGCTACCTGCTAGTCCCTGTAAGTGCTCTTTTCTATTCTTATTTTTTTCTTAACAGCATCTTGAGTGTAATACAATTTCTTCTTTCTCTGATACGATACAAGATAGTTTCTGAAGTGCCTGAAACACTCTTCCTGCATGTTTTCTGCTTCTTTTGGTTCCTTTTTTTCATGTTCATTTGAGTTCCTATCTTTCCTGTTAGAAGTGTATCTTAGAGGGAATCAGCTGGGAATGGGAACTGGAATGCAAGGGCCACATTTGGGGGTATCCCAGGTATGCTTTCTGCCAGAAACGATGGGAAGAGAATGTAATGGGGCGGGAGCGATAAAGTTGAGAAGAGACAGAACAGTCGGGTTACAAAACACACCCACAGGAAGAAAACTGAAAGAACGTAAACCAAGGCAGAGGTTAAACACGAATGCCTCAGAAACAGAGGAAAATTCCAGAATTTTCTCTCAGCCGAGTGCTACACAGGGAGAAAACATAGATTGGTCCTCAAGTGCTAAAATAAACAAATAATGAAATGCATTTGTCGAGGACCACACTAGTCTTATAGCTACATATGCCTTAAACAAAGCTCAAGTCCAGTGAGAACGTTTCAATAATAAACTAAAAAGGGGTTTTTTGGAGCCCGGTGAGCCCTTGCTGTCTGCTCAGATTTCGGAGGGGAGTACCCACAGCCTGGATGTCTGGCTGACAGGGTGGCCTTCTCTATGTGCCTCGTGTTACCAGGGGCCCCTCAGCTGTTTCACTGGAGGATCCTTCGGCTCTTTCCTCTCAGGCTGGGCTGACGTGCCGGAAAAGGATCTCCCAGTCTCCTGTCTGGAGGGTCCAGTCCTGGCCTGACTGCCAGAGTCCCGGGTGCACAGAGGAAGCAGCAGGGGTGCGGGTGCTGGTGTACGTTACATCTGTGTTTTTCAACTATGCCCGCGTTCTCCACTCCAAATTCTGTCTGTCCTTTCCAGGGAATAACCCCCCATGTTACAGGAAGGAGGAGGGCAGCCATAAATCGCTCAGAGGCAGATTTGGAGATCAGACTACATTTTATTTTAATTGCCAGAGGGCTTGTAAACTCACTAGACAGAGATGGGGACAGAGAGGGAGAAGGCATACTCTCTGCCCCATGGGGCATGACTGTGCTGAAATCCCTTCTCCTCCACTTCTCGTACACAAATGTATGCACATGCACCAGCAGTGTTTTTCAAGCTGCCAGGAGCCATGATTCAAATTCCAGTTAGCCATGAGGGAGCTGCTCCATTCACCACAAGGCTATGGGGCAGGTCCAAGATCTGGCTGCTTTTTAAAGACTGTCAGCTCCTGATTTTAGCTTAACCTCCACTCTACTCTAGAGTTAGTACCATGTTGCCAATTGCTGAACCTTCTAGAGGTTCTATGAGGTGCACTGGGATCATCGAAGAACTCTGCCCATTCCTGCGTTCCAAGTTGGTGCCCTCCACGGGATTTTCAGCTTCATATGTTTCGCTGTATTTTTTTCCTCTGCTCGCCTTACTATTCTATTTGTCCTTGAGGGCATGTGTATAAAATCAATTTATTGTTGTTTTAGAGTGGTGTGGGGAGGGAGGAAAAAAAAATAAATGTAGGTGCTTAATCTATTATCATTTTCCAGGTCATTTAAAACTTCATGAGTCTATTTTTTAAGCTTAAAAAACAAAGCACCAAATTGGGACTGTAATGAGCAAAGTCACTTTCAAAGAGTGCTGCTACTTTACACTTGCGTTTATATTAGAGCAGTCCACGTGGGCTACGTATTGATCCAGGGGAAGGTCTCAAGAGAAGGGCAACTTGATGCAGAAAAGGATGTAATCCAAACCACTCGTGTGGGCAGCCGAACTTAAGACTGTCCCACTCTGTATTTTCCAAACGACAATGAGGCAGCCCAATGAAGCCCTTGAACTCGATACTGCATGAAATGAAAAGGCTGGCTGGCAATTCTAAATTGCCCATTTCTCCAGCATAATTATGAAAACCTACCAGAGAATACTTGGGAATAAATTTTCTCTCATGGCATAATTTGTTGCCAGATAAGACACTTACATTTCGAGTTGTTCTTCTCATTCATACGACTAGGCTTTACCTAATAGCAGTTTTTTATTAGCAAAATAAAACACATACTTATGAAGAAAGCTTATCACTCAGCTGTTATATACCCAGGCCAATCACTTCATGTAATCTTTTTGTTCAGAGTCACACGGTATGAAATTAAGGGCAATGATATTACCTGAAACACAACTTATTTATCTCTTTTGAAAATTATTTTATGGGGCCAGTCAGTGGCATGGTGGTTAAGGAGGCTGGACCCCACATGGCTCACTGCACGGTTCGTATCCTAGACCTGGCAGCTTGAAAATCATGATGGGCTGGGCCAACAGGTGGCATGGAGGTTAAGGCAGCTGGATCCCACCTGGCTGACTGTGGTTTGAGCTCCGGACCCAATAGCTTGAAAATCATGTTGGGTATGTGTATGTGTGTGCCCCAAATCCTGAGAGAAGAATGGAGAAGGGATTGGCATGGCCATCCATCTGAGGAGTGATTTCTCACTTTTCCTCTCTGTCTCTTTCCAGTGAGTGAGCATCCCTGACAGCAGATTACAAAATAATAGTAAATAATTAGGAAATTAATTTGATAAACCTTTAAGTTTTGTGTCCTCTAAGCTTCAGCAAGCCTATTTTTTTCAAGCATTATTTCACATTAGAAAAATGCATCGATCTGCCCAGACATCCTGTTGGTTCTTCCAAATCATCAGATTTGGAACAAAGATTTCTTTTGCCAACAGCTACCATTACAGTGTCCCTGCGAGGTCAGACAGACTGGAGGTGGTTTTCCTTCCTGAGTTTAAGGTCTCACAATAAATATTCCTGAAAGTACTG